CTTTATTTAATAAATATTTTTAATTAATTAAATAAATACCTGATTTTTAAATTTTTAAACTATTTACCTTATTTTTGAATTGTGGTAAAGAAAACACTTTAAATATGATTTTTTCCCTTTTCTCATCCCTAAATTGGTTAGGAATAAGTAAAGCCCATTTAAAAGCCCTTCCCCTTTTGTCTGCAACTCGCTTAGGGTTTTTGAGCATATCCTCTCTCTTTCTCAATTTCCCCCAACTTCCGAATCTCTCTGAAAATCTCTCCCGCTTGAACGCCAGGTAAATCTCTAATTTCTTTCCTTATCCTTTTTGCTTTAAGATGAAAATTTTGTTTCACTCGTTTTATAGGAAAAATTTCTGATATATATGTATGTGTTTTTATATAGTGTTATATAGAGATGGGGACCAAAGCAAAAAAGAAATCAATTGTGAAGAATTTGAAGAAGGCGTCTGCGCAATTCTCCACTCCCAAAGACGACAGTCCTGATTTTGTGGTATGCTCTATTTTTCCTTTTTGTGCGTGTTTATGTTGAATCTACAATCTCACTAGTTTTCTTTGTTTATTTTCATGTTTTTACTATTTTTCTAATATACATTTTTACTATTATGTCTGCTTGGTTTGTTGGTCTGCTTATTTGTACTGAAAACTAATAGCCGTTGGAGGGTGGTCCGGCGCGGAAGACCCCGAAGATCGAAGAGAGAGAGAATAAAGCAACTGTGTTGTATATTGGAAGAATCCCACATGGATTTTATGAGAATGAAATGGAAGGTTTGGTGTATTTTTTTTTTCAAAATTAATTTACACTTCTTTAGTATATGCAGGTATGGCGGTTATAAGATTCACTTTTGCAGGTTTCTTTAAGCAATTTGGTACAATCAAGAGACTCCGAATAGCAAGGAATAGGAAGGTTTGTTCTTTTGACTTCAGTAGTTATGTATTCATCTTTGTGTTGGTTTTGCTCAAGTATGATAATTGTCAATATAAAGCAAGGATTTTGAATGGCTATGTTCCATTTCTTGTTTAATGAACAAGGCCCCCTTGCATCTCTCTATTGCACCAAAGAAACATGGCTTAATTTCGAATTTTTGATATTGTAAAATAAAACGTGTTTACTCTAATTCTAAGTTTATTCACTATCAACCCCTGTTTGGTACAAATTAAAATTCAGATTTCAATCCAAGTCAAAGTCAACATTTTATTTCAACCACATATTTCATGGGTTCCACTACTTTTAAACCACACATTTCATTAGTTTTTTTCAAAATCTACAAAAAAAATCTGATTTTAATCCCACCAAACAGGGCTTAATGTAGAAGAGAGATGGATAATATGTGGAAAGAGTAGCTTGGAGTTGGTAGCTTAGACAGACGGTAGATGGCAGCTAAACAATAGTATGGAAAGGATTAGAGGAAGGATGGGTTATAGTTTCTTTGTCAGCTATGATAGCAGTAGATAATGTATTTGTGCTCAATCCTCAGCATAAAAATTTAGGTATTTTAACAATAATATTAGGAATGATGGAAAAATACGGGATTGGATTTGTATTCTAAACAAAAGCATTTGAGTTATTTCCAAGTCTAGAACTCACACTTCCGACCTTTCATTCATCGTAGTTTACTGCCTTTAAAATATGTTTTGCAGCTCTTCAGTTTTTCCATTACTTCCATTTAGAGAATTGATGAGTAAAAATAATTTGCAAGAAAAGTTGGTCAGTGTATTATTCTATGAACAAATAATTCATTAGACCCTTTCTCGAAAATCTAGCATTTGTTCAATTTACCTGTGCCTCATGCAGAAAGCATCTTGGAGTAGAGCATTCCGTTGAATACGTTGTACCTGTCTGAGGGAGTGGATTGTAGTTAAACTCGCTCCAGTGTCTCACATTGCACAACTGTTTTTGCCTTTGATTTCGATGTAATTGTTTTCCATATGTTATCCATATTCAGATTCTCTGCCTAAAATTTTGAATCCAGTCATTTGGCTGGGCTTCATATTCCAATTTCTCGTGCTGTAACATATGCCATATTGTTTTCCCGACAACCTGTATAAACCTAAACCCAATATCTTACAATATGAATGTAGAAGTGTGACTGTATTTGTACTGGTACTTCACTTGTCTTACTCCACCAAAAGCTTCTTGATGCTCGCATAGACAAATTATCATTACTTCCTGATGACAAATGCCACACTTGCCTTATAATTCTTCTATTACAAATTTTGATGTGGGACAATTTCTTTTTAAACTTTTATTTTGTGAAGCAGCAAAGATTGTTTTGTTGGTAAATATAGATTTAATTTGGTTCTAATATACATATGATGCCGATGAAATGTTTTGATTGGATTGTTTCCGACATCAAAATTAATCCTTATTTGCATACCAGTGGGTGGTGCCATGGTGATCTTCCAGTCACTTTCTTTTGGAAAGGAAGAAATGTTCTTTGACATATTAGCATGTCGTGATGGGCGTGTATTTGCTATTGTTCAATTCTTCTGATGGTACTAATTTGTTTGGTTTTTATTTGACAGACGGGGAAATCCAGGCATTTTGGATTCATTGAATTTGAGTCTCCCGAGGTAGTACTTGTGCATATTGATCAAGTTGATGTATTCAGGAATGTTTGTCTTAACATGTTCTGCTTTCTTTTTACTTTGTTTTCAAAATTGCAGGTTGCAAAAGTTGTTTCGGAATGCATGCATAACTATCTATTGTTTGAGCATCTGTTGCAAGTTCATCTTGTTCCTCCTGAGCGTGTTCATCCAAAACTGTAAGCATTATTCTATTGTCTGTAATCAAATTTTAATGACCACTGAAATTTTATTGTGTTTAAATAAAATGTTTGGAATTGATTGGTAATATCTGTTTAGGCTAAAGGAAATAAAATATCAACTTCTATAAACCGTGGATGATAACCTTCAAACTGAAATGATTGAAGACTGTTGTCCCAGAAGGGAAGAAGTCTTTCAAGGACTCGGCTTCATATTTCTTGACTGCCCAACTATGGAATTTCATGCGTAATTTATTCTCTTGATTTCGTAGATAATATTTCAGTTCAATAATAATAGTCCATAAGACGTATGGCTGGGATGGTAGCCTGTGCATGTTTGTGCAAGGTAATGATTTTATAACAAAGAAGGAAGTTCGGAGGTTACGTCCTTCCAGAAGTTGACATTCCAGTTTCGGAATACCAGAATATATATTGCTTACTCTTAGGTAATTTATTATCTTACCATGTGGTTTTATGGATGTTTTATAAGAAGGCTTTCCTATCTCGCTTCTAGACCCGGTTTCTGCCTTACAACAAAGAAGGAAAAAAGAAGCAATATTATATAAAAAAAGATGGAAAATAAAGGGGAAAATAATAATATACACTATAGGATAAGTTTTATAAATATCGTCCATGTCTCATGTAGAAAAAGCTTATGGTTCTATTTCTTATTTTTAGATGGAAAGGTGTGACTCGCCGGTACAAGCCCATGGATTGGGTTAAAATTGAAAGGAAGCATCATGACAAGGTATGATACATGGTATATAAACTATATGATTCTTACTTTTGTTGAAAAAGCAATATGAACAATACCCGTGACTTGAAATTAAATCGACCAGGGCTGCTTATTTTAATACGATCTCATTGAATTGCTATACAAAACATCTAGGAAAGGACCTTGGAAGAGCACAAGAAATTGGTAGAAAGAATTATGAAAAGGGACCGGAGAAGGCGGAAGAGGATTGAGGCCTCTGGTATCGATTACGATTGCCCAGAAATTGTAAGAATATTCTCATTCCTTTCATTTTATTTTTCTTTCATTGCTTGGTGATATCTAATCCTGACTTCAAAATTACTTGTATGGAGACACTTCATTTTTTGAAGGCCTGTTAAACGCACAAGTTCTTATGTTGTGTTCTTGTATTTAAAAACTCTGATCTATTCATTTTATCTTTGCGGATTTCATATTCCATGACTCGATCAGATTGATTTGACGTCATGAAAAAATTAGTGGGGGATCAGGAAAATAGATAAAGAAACTGTATTTACTGTCTTACAGTTCAGTTTTATATCTTTTGCAGGTTGGATGCAACCAGCCCACCTCAAAGAAGATCAGGTTTGATGCAGAGTAGGCTTGCATGGGAAACCAGAATTATGCCCTTCTGACAGAATATTTGTCTTTTTGCTACTGGTTTTCTCTTCGAGTGCATGTTTAGTAAGTACTAGATTGTATTTGAAGTATTATGAACAAGATTTTAGCTTCTTTTTCCCTTAATACTTCCATTACTTGTGATCTCAAAACCAACCATGCCACAAGTGTAGAGTAGCCAAGATTAGCCAAATAGGTGGCTCTTTAAGTATTCAGAAGCTTATATCAATGTTAGGGTACTCCCCAGTTTGGTTAATGTTGCGAACTTCATTTGCTTTTTATCTTTGTATGAATTGATTGGATTTAGAAGATATTCAATTTAAACCGTTGGATGCAGCTATATACTTGATAGTTTAGTACTTTTGACAACATGATTTTAGACTTTTTTTAGTAAATTCCATGCAGTAGCAATGTCCTATTATGGGAGGCCAACGTCGATGTTACTAATGGGAATTCTCTGTTTGTTATTACTGGTACGCATCAAAATAATTGTACCAAAGAGTGGTGCTTTTTCAGTTTGTTTCATGATCTATTAATGATTAATCATGCATCATTGATCTCTTTTCATCTGATGCACAACGATTTTTTTATTGGTCGTAGCCCCCTTCTTGTGAGGGGGCTGTACAACGGGGTTTCAAACCCAGTGTACAAATAGCATATCCCATTGTATAAAGAGAAGATACAGATGATCTGTTTCCTCAGGCGTTTTAGACAAATCTGTAGCCCTTACTGGTAAGGTGGGAATTCTGATGTCAAACCATTGCCGTTTTGTGCAAAGATTCTGAATGGTTTTCAGAGTTTGGATCTCGGGAATGGAGTTTGAGGCTGTGGAGGGAATAATATAGGAAAGAAATCTGGATATTAATTTATATAGTGGGAGTGTAGGTGCGGAGAGAGAGAGATGAACACTAAGGATCCGTTTGATTGCTAGTGTGGAAAATTGGTGGAAAGAAAATGAATTTCAGGGAAAGTAATTGCATAAAAATTGTTTTGCAGGGAATTGTTAATTAAGTGTGTTTGATTGGTATAATTTTTTACCCGAAAAAATTTTAAATTTTGAATCTTTTTGTGTTCGTTTGGTTTTGTTATACATGGAAATTGTCCATTAAAGTGATAATTTTTTCCACAATTAGTTATGAAATTTGTTTTTATTGTCAAAAAGTAAAAAAAAATATATATATATTGACAAAAAAATGATTTTTTTGTCAAAATTTAGTGTTCGTTTGACTTTATTTTGCATGAAAATTGTCCATTAAAATGAATTTTTTTTTTTACAATTGGTTATAAAATTTGTTTTAATTGCCAAAAAAAAAGTGGAATTCCATTTTTTCCCACCAAAAAGGTGGGAAAACCAATTCAAGCAAAAATTAAAAGTTTAGTGTCCGTTTGGCTTTGTTTTACATGGAAATTATATATTAAAATGAATTTTTTTTTTTACAATTGGTTATAAAATTTGTTCCAATTGCAAAAAAAAAAAAGGTGTGAAAATCAATTCAAGCAAAAATGGGAAAATGTGTAGTGTGAGGTGTTTGTGGAAAATCATTTCCATGGAAATTTATTGCCATCAAACACTACTAAAGATGGAAAATCCATGGTATCAAACAGGATCTAACATCGATTTCAAATTTTCAATGCCTTCTGATAAAATATAGAATTGGGGGAAATGAGTTAATAGGGATGGCAACGGGGCGGGTTCGGGGCGGGGCACGGGATACATGGATACTTTTTTTTTAAACAGTTCACGGGCACGAGTTTGGGGCGGGGCATCTCCGCCCCGCCCCGCCAACTCGCTCGGGGCGATTTTTTTTCGCCCCATTCGGGACGGGGCGATTTTTTTTGCCATCTCTATGAGTTAACTAGTTATTTTCACTCTCTTTTTATTGTTTTAAGGTACAATAAGTCTTGCATATGGTACTATATTCTACCAACAAGTTTACATTTAGCCCCTATTCGATGATTATTTTTTTCAAACCTATTTTTTTACATACTCATTTTCAACCACATTCATATAATAAAATATTTTGTACATAAATTCAAATTTTTTTTAACCATACATTTGAGAACTCCATTTTCCTCGAATAATGATTGTCAAATAAGGGCTTAATTTTATTTTTGCTCGAAAGGCTCTCACATTCCACGGTTTATCATCTTCTCCACTCATTTCATGTCTTTGGAGGAACTCTTTAAAAATCTCTGAAGCTCTCAAGTTATTGAGTATGAGTCTCCCAACTAGTTTCCAAATCCTATTTGAGTTCCCAAGTTGTTGAATAACAACTCGAGTCCTTCCAAGTAGCTTTCATATAGTAGGAAGAACTTGGATGGTCCTAAAAGAAAAATGGGCATAGCAAAGACAATGAAAGAATACAAGTGTATACTGTCAAGTTGATAGGGAGACGGAGTGGAAACAACGTAGACGAAGGAGAGAATAAAATAATTAAAGATCGGGATGATATACTTGTAAAGAAGATGACCTACTTTTAATTTTTTCTTTCTGCTTAGAAATTTCATTGCATAAAATGTTAAAAAGTAAATTAAACTTACTCCTAAAATAAATAACACGATTGGTGGGTGGTTAAGCTTGTTGAATGTCAGTTAAATTGGCTGCAAAACAAAGTTATTAACCAAACAGGGAAAAAAAGAATCGACCACAGTGGGAGTCGAACCCACGACCTTTTGATCCGAAGTCAAACGCGCTAATCCACTGCGCTATGCGGTCAGTTCATGCGATAGCTTTGCAATATAAATATAAAAATATAAACTTGAAGATTCTAATGTTTATATTTCATACATAATACAAAATCTTATACTAATTATAAAATAATAAAATCAAAAGGGAAATACTCTAAAAATTCTATAGCTGTTGAATATATTACAATTTTTATTAATGCTATGAACTGTAATTTAATTTATTAAATGTGAAATATACCTATTATTTAAAAAAATATATATATGAATTATGAGGAATAATTTTCTCGTCAAGCATAATTCCTAACTGTCACGTCTTCAACCGTTTTAGTCGGCCCAATTTAAATGCATGGCTGACAGTGTATACGCAAATAAAATAAAATAAAAGAAAAAAGAAAAATTCTAGGAATTTTCCGTTTGTACAGAAATGGAATTGTCAAAATACTCACATGGGGTGGACCTCATGTGAGTAAAATATTTCAAAAAAAAAAAAAAAGGACCCCACCTGTGTATGTATGTTCTGTTGCATTTATGTATGTGTATTTTCTGTACACACGGCATCTTTCAAAAATCTATGGCCTTTTAAAATTATTTACCATCTTATTAATAGTACCACATTAAATAGGTGCACCGTAGAGGGACAAAAATCATGATGCAAAGGTCAAAGTGGTAAAAGGAATGAGTAATGCTATGTAATCCCATTGAGATTACAATCCCAGTCTAGGTGACGTTAACGTGACGTTAAATGATAAGTGAAATTAAATAAATTATTTTATTTCACATTTCATTTAACCTATCATTTAAAATCACCTAAACTGGGGTTGTAACCCAATGGAACTAAATAACATTACTCAAAAGGTATTCAATTGCCCAATGTTTGTAAACCTTTGTGATAACATCCAAGATCCAACCAACCATACTCTCCTTACCTACACACATTAAATTCTCACCTTGTTTTCTCAAACTTTTGATTGCATTTATTGAACTTTGTGCCTCACCCTCTTTTTTTTTTTTTTTCCTTTCATTTTGTGTAAAATTATCTCAAACATTTTGAAGTATGTGATTAATCTTATATGTGAATTTTGCTTAAAATGTAACAATTAAAACTTTACTTAAATTTGAGAGATTTACACAAATTACTAAATTGAATTATAGTTAGAGGTGTACGTCAAAATATACGAGTCGAGCTCGAACGATTCACTTAAGTTCGCATCCAATTTCGACATGGCTCGCTAGAAGAGCTTGTTGGAGGTTGGTTGGGGGGATTTAATTTAATTTTATTCTATTTTTATTTTTGTTTTTATAAACTTAATTTTGTATTAAATATTAATTTTCAGAAAATCAAGAAAATTGGCCTCCACTAATTCGAAGAAAACACCACACCGCCTTCGAGTTGTTCTGGATACGTGTAAATGCTACAGCTATGTGTCTATTTTCTCTAACTTTTCGTCTCCGAATTTAATGGAGAGAGAGATGTAAATGCTAAAGGGATTGTTTGATAGAGGTTTTGAATGAAAAATTTAATAGATATTTTTATTTTTTAACAAAAGTTGATGATATATACGGTAAATATCTTCTATATATTAAAAGTGGTTATGTAACGGAATTTCTTGTTTTTAATGGAAAAACTAATGGAATTTGTTGTTTTAACGGACTATGTAACGGAATTTCTTGTTTTAAACAGATAGCTGCACCTTCTTTCAGTGTTTTTATCNTGATCACCTTTTGACTAAATTTGATTCCATTGACGTCTTCCTTTTATCCAATTGACTCCGAGCACTCTCAAATCTTCATCGTGAGGTTCGACACAATTTTTAAGTATTTACATTTTAGTCCCCGAACTTTGGATCCCTTACAATTTAGCAATTTCTCCAAATTTGTCAACTTTTGATTATTTTCTTCGATCTCACCAACTTACATCACAACATCAAAATCACACATCTAATTATTTAACAATTACATAAACATTACATCATTAATTATTTAATTAACCAAAAAAATTACATCTTTATTAATAACAAATTAATTATTAAACAAAACTATTAAATATAAATTAGGCAAACGTGCATTGCACGTTGCTTGCACCTAGTATTTATAAAAGTTATAAATCTTATGAAATATAATTCAATTAATTGTTGATTATTTCACTATTTTTGCCTATCTAACACCCCTCATCTCCTTGCACTAATTTGCAATTTGGATCTTGTTACATGTACATTAAGATTTACATAATGGATTGAGTAAAGTGCCATTGGTGTTTAACACCAGTTTAGTCGACAGCATTAGTGTCATTTAATA